TTAAAATAATATTAATAATTTCATAATAAATACGTTTAATTGGATCGTAATACATAGCATAAACAGTTCTCATTAATGGATGATCAATAATAGCTTTAACTTGACTTTGATTATTTTCGTTCGTTTCATCATCACCATCATCATCATTATTAATTTCATCATCGAAACAAACAATTCTATTTTAATTAGATTAGTTTTAATAAATAAATCGAAAAAATCTTTTACCGCCCATTTTCTCTATCAGCAACACAAACGAGATCAAGTGCTTCGATAAGAAACAATACTATCTTGAGGGTGTGGGTGTGGTTGGTGGAATATGTGCTTGTGTGTTTGTGTAAGGTGATCTGCAGTCACACCCACCCACACCCACACACCAGCCACATCAATACAAAGTTTTAATCTTTTCACAATACTATTGAAATCATTATCTAATGTTTCTCTTTTTATAGCTTTGATTTCTCTTTCAATTCTGTCGTTTAAATCATCAATATCATTGTAACGGAAAAATATTTAGGTCGCGTAAATATTCTTCAAATAACTATCGCGATATATAGAATCGCGTATATATCCTGATAGGATGATGGACAACAAAGTGTGGATCAGTATCAGCTATACATATTAGCCACTGTGTGTATAATATTAACAACAATTCCACACAATAAGTTTATTCTTGTCCAAAATGAGTTGTGTGTCAGAGGTGTCCACAGGGCCAATTTTATTACCCTGCCCAGCCCTGCTTTTTATCGTAACTCGCCCTGCCCTGGCAGGGCAAAATCACTTTCAAATAATTTGTGTCCTGCCCTGCCCTGCTAATTAAGAAGATTTTTTTTCATATTTGAATTCAACTTTAAGTAATCTTTTTTGAAAAATAGTTCAGCAAATAGATAAATGATCAGCAAATAATAAATTAGCGCTAATTGAAAAAGTGTATATGATGATATTGCATCATCACTGATGATCCATCAGTAGATCAGCTTGTCCACGTAACCCGCTACTTCGCTGA